ATAGATAGATAGATAGATAGATAGATAGATAGATAGATAGATAGATAGATAGATAGATAGTATCTATGTATCTGATCAGGTGAGAAAGGCGGGGGCGGGGGGCAGAGTCCCAAAGGAGCTTCCTGTCCTCCCCAAAGTCCCAAATCCCCTCCTCCTTCCTCCCAGCAGGCTAGAGGAGCCCCTTCACCCCCTGAGAAAAGTCCATTCAGAGCGGGGGGGGGAGAGTCTGGGGCAGAGAACAGCTGCTCATTCACATCTCCCCTCTGAACAATGAGCCGTCAGAAGTGGGGGGGAGACCTTTGCCTGCAACCCATCCTTAGCCTTTGTTTTGGGGCACAAGCCATGACTAATATGACAGATGGTGTGTGCACACACACACGCACGCATGCACACGGACACACATGCGGGTGTACTGACCCGTGGGTGCCCAGGTTGCAGCCAGAGTGCCAGGAGGAGGAGGAAGGAGGTGGGCGCAGGCGCTGGTTGTCGTCCTGCATCTGCAGGCGGATGGGCCGGCAGAGACCCCAGGAGATGTTCAGAGACCCTTCCACGATGAACTCGCCTTCTTCCTGCGGGGAGGGAAGCACAAGAGACCCTCAGCGAAGAACAGAGCCTCCTAATTTCTCACCCGTTTGGGCACCCGGTCCCTTTCCCTACCTCTCGATGCCGAAGCTGCAAGTTTTGACCTTCGTAGTAAAGGTTGTATGTCTTCAAGTGCAACAGGAGTTCATTCCTGGAAGAAGAGAAAGGAAACAAGGGTCAGAAGAAAAGAGGGAGGGGGGAGGGGTAGACAGAAACGCAGGTAACCCTCCACTCACGACATTGTAAAGATGAATGTATTTGAAACTGCTATAAGAAGGAACATGAAGTTCCAGTGTGTCGTATAAATATAATCCACATCTATGTTTTTTATACGTATGTTTAAAAATTATATTTTTTTACCAAAAATAGGCTGGGGGGGTTGGGTTAAAATACGATTACTATATATGTATACTTTTTTTCTCTTTTAAAAAAGAAGGAGGAAGATATGTGTTAAAATTAAATATGTTTATTGAAAGGGAATTATAAACACCATCAACATAAAATGGAGTTCGCTCAGAGGCTGAAATACACCAAGTAAATGAGATGAAGAGTGGGAAGCAGAGGAGAGAGGTAAGAGAAGAAGAGAGGGATAGGAGGGAGGGGGGAAGAAGAGGAGAGAAAGAAGGAGTGGAAAAGGGGGAGAGAAGAAGGAGAGAGAAAGGGGAAGTAGAGAAGAGGACGACAGAGGGAAGAAAGGAGGTAGGGAGGGGGAGGAGAGAGG